CATCATTCTCGAGTTAAATAATACTCCCTCCGTCCCGTTTTGTTAGTCTTGTTTTTCTTTTTTGTTTGTCCCAAATTGTAATCCACTTTCCCATTAAGGAATGAAGTAATCTTTCAAATTGTCTAAAATACCCTTATTAAATATCTTGTTATTAATACATTGTTATTAAATACTAACCTACTACATTGAATACATTGAGCTTTTCCAATACATAGATAAATGAAAAGTCTATCTTTGTTATTTATTGGCACTATTGGCGGTAATTGAAACAATCAGGGTGCACTATTGGCGGTAACTGATATTTATTGGCACCATTAGCTGTAACTGATATTAATTGGCACTCTTCGTGATTAGCATAAGGGTATTTTAGGAAATTATTAATCTAAATTTATGTTTCCAACCAAATTAATTACACTTTCTTAATCTGTGTGAAAAAAAAACCAAGACTAACAAAACGGGACGGAGGGAGTATTTACTTCGAAACAAAGAAAGTGAAAGCATAGAGATTAGAGATGTTAATATCGTTTAATTAAAATAGAAGAAAGAGATACTAATGTTTCATGAATCATGGAAATTAGAGATGTTATTATTTTAGTATGGTTAGTTTAACTCTTTAAGGTTTTTCTGTTATCTACTTTTAGGGCATAGGATAAGCATACAAAGTATAAATAATGAATTCACTTTAAATTTTAAACATTATTATCTCCCTCTAAATTCAGGAAACCTTAGCTAAAAAATTTTAAACTTTTTCGAACAACGCTCAATCCCACCTCTTTAAATTGTTTTATATTGTGTCTTAAGGGTACAGAATAGAACAAGCCACTCTTTAAATTGTTTGGTATTTTTTAAGGATCTAGTGATTTACTGCCTATTAGGGATGTCAAGGGTTGGATTCGAGTCGGAATTAATAATTTGTCATAAATTAGAAGGAGAGGGTGTCGTTTGGAGTAATAAGGGATGCGTTTTGATCATTATAATAGTTATTAGTGGAAGAAACCACGTGTAGTTATGGGATTGGTCTTTAAATACCCATTGTCAGTTGGTAGGAAAGGATAGCGAAGTTGTAACCGAATTTGCATCTTTCTTCCCGATCTTCAATACCAAATTCCTGTCTCTTTTCCAGGTCTTTTCTTTTCCCCTTCTCCCTATTGCTCTTCTTATTCATCTTCATAATTCTTTCCCTTTATTCTACTAACAAATCCAGATAATTCATTTCTGCACTTTTCTTAGCTAATAGTTTTAGTTCGTGACGTAATTTCGGACTCGATTTCAACATGTAATAAAACGATGTGGAGCTGGAGCTGGATATAGACGGGTCTCGATATATAATTTAGGATCTGTACTTGGCTAGATCCAGATCCAGGTCCAGTGTATCTAGATTTTGAAATTAATTTCATATAATTTCAAGGTTTTATTTCAACATAAACTTTATTAGCACAACATTAACAATACGATTGGATTAATTCTAATAATTATTTGCTTTATAGAAAATCTCTTTCAGTAAATAAATGAGTGGATTATTAATAAATTTTAATGAATGTTATAATTTTTTAATTAAATATTTATACTAATTGAATCCAGATCCAAACGGGTGACAACATATATATTCATATCCTGTCCATTTAGCTTATAAATAAAACCAATTGAAGTAAATGGATCTATTACCTGTTCCGAATTTGGAAAAATAGATCGGGTTTAGATCAAGACCCAATCCATTGATTACTCTATTGTCCACGCATCCCGTAAACGGATCTACTACCAATTTTGAATCTGGAAAAACAAATCGGGTTTAGGCCAAGATCTGATCCATTGATAACTCTATTGTCTACCTATCCCATAAAAAGTATCAAGTTTTAGATTATCCATGTATTCATGTTACTACTGTGTTTTGGATTAGTGTAAATTTCCAAATTTAGAGATGTTGATAACCACGTCTCATCAAATACTTAAGAATAATGTATCAAGTGGTTTTTTTTCCTATTAAACTAGTTTGACAACAGAATTTGCTTATATTTGAATAGAACAAGACCGAGTAAACTTGTACACAAAATTTTAAGTAGAAGATATATTACTCTTCATCCCAATTATTTAGTCATGTTCCGAAAATCCAACTTTTTAAGAATAGTGGTTTGATTGTGATGCTTGTGCTTTTTTCTTTTTCTTTTTTTCAATTTTACCTCCATAAATTCAAAATTTAAATTTGAATGGTAACATATATATGATTAGAAAAAAATGACTATATTGGAAAGAGAGATTAAAAAGTGTTTTAACTTTTTCAACATGACAAATGTTTTGAGACATCTCAAAATAAAAAATATGACACTTCTATCGGAAAGAGAGGGAGTACTTAATTTGCTAACTTATTGAACATACAATAATACTTACTTAAAGAAAAATATAACACTTCCATTGGACGGAAGAAATACTTAATTTGCTAACTTATTGAACGTACAACAATACTCAAAGAAACTCACAGCCTCGCACACACTTTTGGTAATTCCCCTAAAACTCAGAGCTCGATAATGCCACCCCCTTCTATCGTTTTGCTTCTTCATATAACTAGAAAACAAACAACACAACTAGAGGACAAACAACACAACCAACATAGGGTTCTCAAGGACAAGATGATCAAGAGGAACTTGTTATCTTGCTTATAAAGTAATCGAGACTTGTATCTGAACTTCCACCCTCACTAACTGCCGCTTTAGCCAAATTGGAAACCTTCATAGCATTTTCCTTTATTTCTTTGCCTGTTTCTCCTTCCATTACCTCCTTAATGCATCGTCCAATTTCTTCCTTTGTTGCGAGTCCATTCTTATCATGCTTCACTCTAATCCCCACCTTCCAAACATCCTGGATAAACTTAGCATGTGGTTGTTGATCAGCAAATTGTGGCATTGCCACTATTGGCACTCCTAGGCTCAAGGCTTCAAGTGTTGAATTCCAACCACAATGTGAAAAAATGCATCCTACAGCCTCGCTCGATAGTACTTCCAATTGTGGAGTCCATGGTACAACGAGGCCTTTATCAGATGCTTCATCTTTAAAAATTTTTTGGCAACTTTTCAGCCTCAAAAGATTTGACAGACCAAAAGAGGTAGTAGTTGCTGTTCTTCAAAGCCAAAGCAAGTTCCTCTAATTGCTTTTCGTCAAAACTGGCAAAAATCACACAACTTAACGATGCGTAAACAACTGACCTGGCTGGTTTATTATTTAGCCAATTTAAACATGTTGAGGGGTCATTGTCTGCTGAAATGATTCCATATTCTTTGTCATCCACAACTCTCCTATCCAGGTAGAAAGTGGGAATTGTTGGTCCTACTGTCAGAACTGGCAAGTGCTTGGAAAATTCATCCACCACCTGTGCCAAATAAAACAGAGAGGTGATCAAATTTTACAAATATTTGTAGCTTCAACATTATTCTGCGTTAAATGAGTTAGATGAGCGATGAAGGATAATGTCAAACCATTCATACATCTTCATTCCGTGAAGCTAAGTTAAATCAAAATCACAAATTCATCACTAACTCTACCAACGATCTGCGTCCTGTGCTTGATATAGTATGTCTGAAAATTATGATTTTAGTTGCAAAATTTTCACTTAATGGACCTCCTCACTAAGTAGTACCAGTTAGCGGCTTCAACTAGTCAAAAGATTCTGTTTATGGTCTAACTAGGAACTCATTGAAAAGCAGTAAAAAGCCCACCTGCATTTTTCTGGAGCTGCCTTGTGCTATTTCCAGTACAAAAATAAATCAAGCCCGCCGTTCATATTGGAAAAATTCAACAAAGTACATGTCTTTGTTAACAGACAAATGGTTTTGTTCTGAATATTTAGTTTATCTTATGAGAAATACTGAAACTTAGTTCATACACGGAGACATGTATAAACCAAAATATTCATGAGTACCCCCTATGGTTTAAAAACCTACATAAAACCCCTCCTGATATGGGCTAAAGTGTCACCATTAATTTTTTTCATTAAAACTAACCGTTAACGGTAAAAAATCAAAATTAAACTAATAAATTGACAAATTCACCCTTTCACTACTTTTTTTTTCCTTTTCAGCCCGTTTCTTTCTCTCTTTTTTTAAGCAAAAAAAAATGGAAGGACAATATAAAACAAATAAATAAGAAATAAAAAATTCCAAATGTTTTTTGACCGCAAATATCATTATAGGTTTTTAAACCAAATTATTGATGGTATTTTCTAGTTCTTATTTATCTATTTTTTATTTCAATTTCTTATTTCTTATGTTTGGAGGGGGAAAAAAGAAGTAATAAAAGAGTAAATTTGTCAATTTATTAGTTTGATTTTGACTTTTTACCATTGACAATTAGTTTCAATGAAAAAAAATTAAAGGTGATACTTTAACCTAAACCATAAGGAAGTTATATATAGGTTTTTAAACCATAGAAAGGTTATGTGATAAAGCACTAAAGCATAGGGAGGTAAAAGGTAATTTACTGGTAAAATGGAAACAGGACATCTTAGAAAAGAAGTGATGGAGCCACAGAGAGATACAAATGTAAGTCCAAAGAAACTGAACCAAAGACGCACCTCCTTTTCCAGCTCATAAAATGTGTTGACAAGGACATAATCCGCCTGATCCACATTTGAAAACTGCTCAGCCACATACGCAAAATGATATGGTATATTACTACCAAAATGAGGAAGATCTTGATGTTCAAGTGTCGGCAATCCTTGACTCGAGACTGGAAACTCAGTGACCCGATTAGTCAACTTTCCATGATAAAACTGGTGCATTATGTAGTTAACACCACATTGATGAGTGAAGGAAGCCACTCCAGGTAAACCAATTTCTTTACAAAAATCAAGCACAAAAGGTAGCAAGTAAAAATATCTCAAATAATTTACAATCCAAACAGAGCTACCTTTTGTGATGTGATGTATGTGAGATAAAAAGGTAATTGGGAAGATAAAAATGTGTGTTGGAAATTGTAATGATGATATAAGCAAATAAATTTTGGCAAATAATTTACAATCCAAACAGTGTCAATGAATCGTAGATGATGAAATCAATTGGAGTCCCTAAGGATTCATACTTCTTCAGGGGTTCAAGAATTGATTGTGAGCCAACTTCTTTAAAGCGAGCCATGGAGATTGGGACAGGGTCAGCTATGAAGAAGCCACCTTCATCATAGCCATCGGATATTATGTCAATCTGGACTATGTCTGATTTTGGATACGAAACTTTGGAGGTGATGGCTAGTGTGGCATTCAGCCCTTTGCGTACGAGTTTCTTACATAACTGAAGCATAGGATTTATGCGGCCCACACTTTGATATGGAATAGCCAAAAGATGAGCTTTGTATTGTTTCTCTCCGTTTCCCATCTCCTTCGCTGTTCACCTTTTTGCACTGAAAAGCCAATGTTTTGAAAATCGGACCGGACCGACCGGTTCGATCGATTGAATCGCGAACTGGTCATGACACCGGTCCAGTTCTATGCCATTGTTGATTTTGCCAGAAAACCAGTCAAAACTCGGTTGAACCGTGAAAACCGCTGAACCGGATTGAACCGGCAGTTTCCCGGTTTTCAACTTCCCCCCCTTTTTTTTTAATAAAGTTTTGCAAAATGCAGCTATCAAGATTCGAACTCAAAACCTTTGTAATAGAAAACCAATGTATCAACCGTTGCACCATCACATCTTATTAGTTTTTTTTTATAACTTATTTATATAAAACAAACACTCATATTTCTTTTTTCCATTTTTCTTACAAAATCTCATCCTCTCATGGCTCTTTCTTTTTAATCTTCAACTCTCTTTCTCTCTCTATCTCTCTCTCTCTATCCTCTTTTCTTTTATGACTCCCTTTTTAATCAAACCTCTTTATTTTTAATTTATTGATGTTTTCTTCCATCTTTTAATTTTGTTTTTGTCCATTAAATTGAAAAAAGTTAAAAAAGAATTATTTTTCTTTAACCCAAATTATTTAATGCCATAACCACTCACTTTTATCTCATTTTTGTTTCTTATCAAGTTTACATTTCTATTTTCGATTTTCTTGACTTCCTTCGAACTCCAAACTTCCTTTTTTTAAATTGCAATCTCTAAATCCTAAAACGTAAATTAAAATTTAAGTTCACAATATCTAAATTCTCATAGACGTGAATTTTGTATAATTTCAAAATATTGTGATATTTTTGGGTTGGATTTAGATATAATTGAAATTGAAATGAAATTTATTGTTTTAACTTATAATTTAAAAAATTTATTTTTAAAAAGCCAAGTTATTAAAAAATAGTAAACTTTTCATCATATAAAGTATTAAATTAGTCCATTACATGTCTTATTTTGTGCATATATATATTTATATAAATTATTTTTTTAAAAATTTATTGAATCGGGGTTGAACCGGTCCGACCGGTTGAATCTCGACCCTTTCACTTCACCGATTCAATTAACGGTCCGATTTTTAAAACATTGTGAAAAGCTTGTTTGACTAAAATGATAGGACAAGTAGACATAACATAACTCCAATGTTTCCAAATATGTACTTAGAATTCAATTGGTCAAACTCAGCAAAGGCAATAAATTTGTTAAAAAAAAATAAATAGATGTAGCTTTACTTACCGAAAGGTAAAAGACAGGTTAGACAGAAAACTAGAAAAAACAATTAAATGTTTAAGTGATTTTTAAGAAAGTAAAGAATTCATGGGAGATGTAGACACCAAATTTTTGTCAATTTTTAATATTTTCTCAAGATTTTTCTATTTAATGAATTATTTATTTTCTAGCATTTTAATGTGCATTTTTCTCATTTTTGCAGGTTTGCTTTAAAAAAAAAAGGGAAAAAAAAGAAAAAGAAAAACAAACAAACAAAAACAACAAAAAAAAACAAACAAAAAAAAATAATAAAATCATCATAATCATTTTCTCTACCAAAACCCCTATTAACCCATTCCATACTCAATTGCCATGCACCTTTCTTTTCATTGGCAGAAGCCATCATTTGAAAAAAGATCCTACACACAAGCTCCATTTTGGTTACAAGTCCCTCTCGGCTCTCTCTTGAAAAAAGGAGAAAAAAAAGACACAAAAAAAAAGAGGTTCTCGGCTCTCTCTGGGCTGGACCGAAAAGAAGAAGGGAAAAAAAAGAGAGAAAAACTCCTCTCTCCCTCTCGGCTCTCCTCTCTCCCAATTTTTTTCCAACATATTTGCACACAACAAGGGAGCACTCGGTTGGATTGGAGCTTGGCAATTTCATCAAAAATCTTGGCAAAGGGACCAAACTCTTCATTGAGGTATTTATCTCCCTTTTTTCCAGCTTTTCTTTTTTTAATTAACTAGATTGAATGTATGTGTGGTTACCTTTTTTATTGCTTATTTTTGCTGGTTTTTGCTGGTGTTGTATGGATGAAATTTTGGGATGGGTCACTGAACAAAATTAGAAAAAAAGAAACGGTGCTGTGAATGCATGCCAAATGTTTGAAAAAATGTCTAAATGAAAAAATGAATCAAAGAAGTGAATTTGGCGTGTATGTTTTGCTTAAATGGAAGACCATTAGCTAGCAAAGATCTGAAAATGCTTGGTTATCCAAAATTTTGGGAGTTTTTGAGCCTTAAAAGCATTAGAATAATTTTCTTCATTTTTGGGGCTGTTTTGATTTAATGCATCCTTTTGTTGTTGTTTACTTGTCAAACTAAGATTATAGTTGTATTGTAGAAGTTATCAAGAAGGTTTTGGCATAATTTTTATGATTTTTGGTGAAGATGTGAGGGTTTTAAAAAAATAAAAACTGAACTGATTTCTTGGCATTTTGACCACTTTTGGCTCATTTTTCGTAAAAACTAACTCCGGAAATGGAATCTAGGCGAAAAATGGAGTGGGGAGGTGTATTTTGAGAAATTTTTGGTGACCGGAGAGGTCGCCGGAGCAGCTGGCCGAAGAAGAAGAAAAAAAGAAACGGCTGGAAGTGGAGGAAGAAAAGAAAAGAAGGAAAGAAAGAAAGAAAGAAAAAAGGTGTTTGGGCTAAGGTGAGTTTTTTAAGGTGGGTTTGTGGTTATTTTGTTAGGTTTTGGGGGATGGGCTTTGGTTTATTTTTCTTTTGGGTTTCGGTTGGGTTAGGAGGTTGGAGCCTATGTATTTTTTTGGCTGGGTTTGAGTGATAAAAGACGGGCTGGCCTGTGTGTTTTGGCTTGGGCTTTCAGTTGGGTTTAGGTAGGTTCGGCCCAAGTAAAATAACAAGGGAGGCCCGATGCCCTTTTCTTGCCCAAATCAGAAACGAACTTGCACTTTAGCCCCTGATCTTTAGAGTAGTTTTACTGTGGTTCAAAACATTTTAAATTTCTTTCATGTAGGTCCTTATAGTAATTGCACTTTGGTCCCTGAATTTTATCTTTTATTTAATTTTGACCTCTGAACTTTGGAAAAATATAAATTTTGTCCCCAAAAGTTTTTTTTCAATTTTTGCAATCCAGTCCCTAGTGAATTTTGTCTCTTTTTATTGTGATTGTTTCTTTTCTTTAATAGCTAATTATGTTACTTTTGAATATATTTAACTTGCAATTTTTAGATGTTTCTTAAATTTCTTTGCGTTTGACATGTTAATGTGAATTTAGTATTTTAACATTATTATTTTCTTCAATTAAAGTGGTGCCATGATTCTTTTGTTCATTGTGAGTATAAATAGGACAATTTGACTCCATTTAGTCACCATTTCAAACGGGAGGTACCCCTATTTTTATTATTTCAATGTCAATTACGTGCTCCTATGTGCTCCTATGTGTTCCTATGTGTTTATATATTTTTATATGTTTTATTTATTGCATTTAAATGTTCATTTAAATTTTCTTATATTATATTTGTTTAGTTAATTTTTATAATGATTCGAGAGACATTTAAATACCTCAAAATGTAATAGATAGGATAACTAATTTTATTTTGTCATATTTTTCCCATTTTAGATTGTAGTTAGATTCCCCGATGTAATAGATAGGTTGCGTGTTTATGTGGCTTATGTGTTATGTGTTTTATCCGCTTTTCTTAGGATTTTGGCATCTAGATATTATGTTTACGTGTTATGTGCTACGTGCTCTTACGTGTTTATTTGTTTTAATTTATGTTTTATTTGTTTCACTATGAATTGTTAATGCATGACGTCACCACACTAGTCCAACGCTAGTTGTGGCTTTTCCCTCTATTTACTTGCTAGTCCAACGCTAGTAAGGATTTTTAGAAATGGGCTAGTCCAACGCTAGACCATTTAGGTTGTCTTGCGCTAGATTCATCTTTGTGTGCTATTCACTACATTTCCATGCATGTTTTTATTTTTAGGATCTTTTCTCATTTGTATGATATTCCCTATTATATTATCTCTTACCCGCTATAGGTGCTAATCATGCCATTTAGAATTGCATCTCATTTAAGCTAGTTCATTTGCTTGTTTATGTTAGGATAATTATTTTTCAAACATGGGAAATGGGTGATTATAACTTTTTAGTTTAAATACCCTATTAATCCATGTATAAGAAAATTATGTCACGAGTTTTGCCTCCCGTACCCTTTATGTTGCATTCCCTTTTTCTTTGATCACTTATATATGTATATAATCTAATTTCTTTTCTTTACTTTAAATTCATCATTTGCATATTCGTGACACCTTCAAGGAGTTATTTTGGCCTTCGCAATTAATGCGATTGGTTCAATCAAACCCTTGAATGAACATTTTGTCCCTTTCGATGTTTTTATAAATTTAGATTTGCATCCATGTAGGAAACATCCAAATATGATAAAATTAAGGGTTAGATTAGGAAAATTTTGACTAAACCTCGCAACTAACTTAGACTAGGTTGAAAGGGTGCCTTAGGTTTGAGTCAATTAAACCTTTGCCTTCCCTTTCTTCAACCGTGACTCCCGAACCTATTTTCTCTTGTTTTCAAAGACCTGGAGTTGTCAAAAAGGGTTTTGATTTATTTTATTTTTGTCAAAAAATATTTTTTGGGTGACTTGGTACACCAAAACTCCATACCAAGTGGCGACTCCTATTTTTTCTTAAAAACCCTTTTAGACTAAATTTTGGGACCTAAATTGTCGCATTCTTTTAAGTCCCATTTTAGGTCCTTTTTCATTTATTATTAATAAATCACATCTTTCTTTATAAACACTTTCTTTTCCATCGCGAAAAAATGGGGCGCGACAGGAGAGATGTGAGATAAATGAAATAACTGTGTCTTTAATTAGTGGAAGACAAGCGTGCAATTGTAAGGCAAGTAATTCAAACTTAGTCATTCGTGCAACGGAGAGTAATTTCGGCAAATTTTACGAATTTGGTCTTCTGAGTTTATCAAAATCGAACAATTTTTCACCTTATCAATTATACACTTGGTAA